TTGTCAGAACAGGGAGGTAGTGTTATATTTTGATCAACTGGACCAGGGAGAAATGTTCACATATTGAAATGTTCACTTTGTAAGCTAAATGTGATTAAATGTATAAAAAATGTAAATAAATAAATAGATTTTAAAAATACAAATAAAAAGAAGAACAAAAAAAAGAAAAAAGAAAAGAAATAACCAACATTTTTCACAGTTCTGGAGGCTGGGAAGTTCACAATCAAGACACTAGTAGATTTGGTGTCTGAAGAGGGAACATTTCTCATATATGGCACTAACTTGCTGCTTCATATGGCCTTACATGGCAAAGAGGCAAACAAAGGGCCAGCAAGTGGTGTAGTGGTTGAGGCACTGGACTCCTAAACGGCTGATCATGGTTCAAGTCCTGAACTTGGCAGCTTGCTTTCTCATTCTCCCTTTCTGTCTTTCTCTGGTCAAAACTGAAGAATAAAGATAATAAATAAAATTAAAAATAAATGAATCTTTAATAAATAAAATTAAAAATAAATGAATCTTTAAAAAAAAAAAAAAAAAAAGAGGCAAACAAATTTCCTGGGGTCTCTATGATATAGGAGCCCTGTTACAAGGGTATTGATGCCATTCATGAGGGCTCTGCCTCCATGATTTAATCACCCTTTAATGGGCTCACTACCTTTAGAGTTAGGTTTTCAACATATAAATTTGGTAGAGGGTACACAAGCATTCTGACCATTTAACCTCCTTAAAAACCAGGACCTGGAATAACTTAAAGTAAAAAAGGTATTCAGGGCACAAACATAAGGAGACATTCACTCTGAGGTACCAGCCCTACATTTATATAAGTGTAAAAGTGAGTACTTCCTTAAATTTTGCACTTCCTCCCCCAGTACCAATCCCCAAAGATGATTACTTAAAATTCCAAAATAAGTATCTACCATAATCCTTCAGTTTTTCCAATACAGGGTAACAGTTAAGGAGATGGACTCTGTGGATTTGATCCACCATTAATTAATCAATGACTTTCATGAAGTTATTCTAGAAGTTCCTCAATTTTCATAAAAGGTATAAAATGATAACACTTACCTCATAGGATGGCTATGGGGATTAAATGAGTTAGTATATGCAAAATGCCTATAATAATGCCTTACAAGGGAAATAAATGTTAACTATTATTACTACTACCATTATCACAATATACTGAAGGACACTTAGTTAACTTCCAGTTTTGCCATTATGAATAATGCTATAATTAACATATTTTTACAAACATATTTGTGTACTTATAGAAATGACCAAAGGATAAGTACTTGACAGAGAAACTGATATGCCCAAGATTACAGACATCTATTATTTTCCAAAAATGGCTAATAACATTCATATATAGTCACTTAATCTAAAACAAAAATGCCAATACGATTCAGGAAAAAAAAAAAGATGGCCATTTCAATAGACAAAGTGACTTCTAAAAGTTCATGGAAAATAGAACTAAAGTAGGAGTTTATTCTTTTTTTTTTTTTTTTGAGAGGTTTTTCACTATAGGGCGT